ACTTTTGCCACATTGGAGATTATAATGTAGTCTTTAAGTCTAGGATACAGAAAAGCTTTTGAAAAGGAACCACTATTGTATTTATATAACTACTAGCATTAATGATTTCTTCCCCTAGAAGTTTCTTTTTTCAAAATCCATGTTGAAATCCAAGGTTGATACCTCTTCATAATACATTATCTGAATCCTGTTGATTTTTCTGTGAAAATTGTGATTTTTAAGAAACTTTCCTTTTCTTTCCAGAAGTCTTGCCTAATGGAAGGTTATAATTTCTTCCTGTCAATATTTTTGTTTCTCAGTTGGGCTTTCCACTGTTTTTCTTCCATTTTTCCTCTGGGATTTTTCCACATGTTTGTTTGGGCCTTCCTTAGCTTCTGAGCATCCATGTGTACACTGTGAGTTTTCTTCATTACCCAATGATGTGCATGCTTTGGCAGCAGAGTAGATGTCACAGTCTTAAAAATCTTCCCTAATGTCCAGACAGGTAATATTATTGAGTGAATATATGTTGGGGTCTTTGTCAAAATAGGTGTTCCTTGAACCCTGTTCATAGGCCTTTAGATAATTTTTTTTTTTTCAAAAACATGGCCTGCCAAGGCCAAGCAAGACAGAATAAAAGCTGGTTCTTCTGCCAATTTGCAAATCCTTCTAGTCATATTGGAATCTCTAAAATTCATCTTTGTAGAGCACAGTTTAGGATGATAGCATCTCAGGAGTTTTTTTAAGTTAAGGGAAAGAAAACAGCATGTGATGTGGGTAGGGCCTGGCATCTGCACAGTGGCCCTGAAACTGCACTGGTAGATTAAAAATTCACTGGATCTTTGATTTAAGAGAGAGGTTGAGAGGGTGAAGAGGGGACCTACATGTAACCAGAAGTGGAGGAAGTGGCCCAACTGTGTAAGAAAGGAGGCTGGCAGCCCTTTGGAAGGTTGGTTCACAAATATGGTGCTCGGACAAACCAGAGCCACCCAGTTTGGGTTGTTACTTATCTCTGTCTCCTAAAGTGGGAAACATAATAAGAAACTGCAGAACTGATCAGATTAGTTGAATGAGTTCTAAATTTTTAAAAAATAGATAATCAAGGCTGGGGTTGTGGCTTAGCAGTAGAGCACTCGCTTAGCATGTGCAAGGCCTTGGGTTCAATCCTCAGCACCACATAAAAATAAATAAATAAAGTATTGTGTCCAACTAAACTAAAAAATATTTAAAAAGTAATTTTAAAAAATTTAGAAATAGATAATCAGTTTTATGGTCTGACAGTGAAAGTACAAAAGTGATAGTGAAAAGCAAATCTCCCTCTCCCTCTACCACCTGCCTCCCGCTGACAGGTTCTTGTTACTGGGTTCTTGTAATTAGTGCTGGTGTTAAATTGTAGATTAAGACATACCAAAACACTCCAAATCCTTGGCAGTTCATCTCTGCATGTTATACATACACATATGTGCATAGATTCTTTTTTACACAGAGTGTGGCACAGTTAACATTTCCCCATCTTGCTTTTTTTCAGTGATCTGAAAGTTATCTTGAATTTTCGTTATATTGAAATTATCTTGAAGTAACCTTGATATTTGTTATTTTGAAGATTCCGTATAATGCAAGTAATACAGATAGAGCTGCTGGGTTGGTTTTACTGGCTGAGTTGGGATACATGGAATGCATATTCTACAGTTTATTCAACTAAATTTTCCATGATGGAAATTTGTTTCCCATTTTTCTTCATAGACAGTGACCCATCAGAGGTTAAGTCTGGATTCTGCCCACAAGAAAAATTAGTTACCTGATTATAGAGAGGATAAAATGATTAGGTTTTTTTTTTTTTTTAAAGGTTTGATCTTTATTTATTTATATGCGGAGCTGAGAGTCACACTGTATGCTGCACACATGCCAGGCAAGCGCTTAACCACTGAGCTAGGACCCCAGCCCTGATTAGCTTTTTTCTGTTATCTAAGTGAATAAAATGGTTTTTTACATTAGTTTTGCTGGAAGGGAGCCTCAATTTGATTATCAGGGCCAGAGCGTTTGTTCCACAGCAATTTATTATTATTGTTAATCGTGGTGCCGGTGCCGATGATCAGACCCAGGAAGTTCTGTGGATTTAGATCTAGGCTAAAGTGTTGATTCTGTAGGTATTATGGATACTTACATGAATCTGATTTGGGATTTGCTTTTAAATGAGAAATGCTACAATTACTGTTTCATTTAATATTTTCAATTCTTCGAGGCTTTGTCAGCTGAAGTTAATATATTCTTATTAGAACAATATAGTTGTGAGATGAAGACATTTTTCTTTAAATAGTTATTAATAATCATTAAGCTGTTCTGAAACACTTTGTTCATAATCTTTTTTAAAATAATTTTATTTTGTTTATTATTATTATTTTTTATGTGGTGCTGGGGGTTGAACCCAGTGCCTTACATGTGCTAGGCAAGCACTCTAACCACTGAGCCACAACCCCAGCACCCCCTTTTTATTGTTTTTTTTTTTTTTTTGCACTGCTGGGGATCGAACCCAGGGCTTGGTGCATGCGAGGCAAGCACTCTACCAACTGAGCTATATCCAGCCCTCCCATAATCTTAAAAACAATTTTTAGTTGCTTCCAATTCTTTGTGACTTTGGTTTTCACATAAAGATTACAGAAAATTGACACTTTTTAGGTAGATTTTCTTTCTGTATTCATATACTTTCTGAAGCCTCTTTTTCCTTCTTAGCTAATTTTCAAATCTCTATTTAAATAAATATATGAAGTAGTTATCTATGAGTAATGGGATTATGAAAAGATTTTTTTTTACTGTAACATTTATTTAAAGCTTAACTGAGAAGTAGTAGATAATGCTTTATTTTCTGTTTTAGAATCCAAGATATGCAAGGATGCTGTTTTGGATAGAGGAATAACTGAGCAATCCTAAATTTGATTTGTCTTTCACTACTCTCCTAGCAGCCTGCCTGGGCTCCTGGAGAGATCTTGCCATGTTTTCTATGTCCTGGAGATTCTCAAAGCTCTTTCAGTTCAGGGCCCAGATCTCCCTCATTTTTCTAATCTCTGCCTTGAGCAAGTACTAAATGTGTTACATTAAACAAACAAACAAAACCCTAACAAACTCATCCATCTATATGCAAATCTGGAAGAATTTTTAAAAATTGTGTTGTGATTAAGCTGGGGAATGTTTGGTTGATTAGAAATAATGTGCTTAGCTGGGGCATGTAGATGAGGGTTGTGATTTTGTGTTATGACATTTCTCCTAATTAACACAGCTGAGGCTCTGATTGACTGGCAGAGCACAATGAAGACAAGCCTTTTATAACCTCTATTTCATCACCTTGAAAGTCAGCTTTGTCAGTTATCTGGAACATTTTGAATAGGGCTGTTAGCACAGGAAGTCACAAAAAAGGGATAAGGTTTTTTGTTTTGGTTAATTAGTTTAGGCCTTTTTTCCTGGTTATTTGAAGTACCAAAAATTTTTTTTTTCAGCAGAACTATTTTTAATTCTTTAAAAATGTATTACATATCTCCTGCCCCTATTAGGCAGCAGAATAGTGCTAAACATAATTTAAATCTTTTTGTAATGAGTCAGGATTGCCATTATGTGTTCTACCAAAGGGGTGAATGATGTGAGGTACTAAGGGAGGCCCAGAGAGATAGAGATTGCTTTCTTAAATAGCTCTCTTTCATCTCTCCTCTTTTCCCTCCCTTTTTTCAACATTTGCTTTTAAAAGGAGAGGAAAGAATGACTTGGAAAGAGGAATATGGCCACCTACCATGAATCAAAGGTTGAAGCACAGAGTTGGTACACCTATTTATTTGCTCTCAATAAAAATCATCTTTATGTGCTTTTTCAAGGCCCTCTTGGCATTTTAGGATCATTTTGGGTTTTCAAAATCATTTGAGCATCAGTAATGTGATATGCCATCTTGACCTCTTTTTAAAAAAAATATTCATTTTTTAGTTGTAGTTGGATATAATATCTTTATTTTTATGTGATGCTGAGGATCAAACCCAGGGTCTCGCCTGTGCTAGGCGAGTGCTCTATTGCTGAGCCACAACCCCAGCCCCCCCACGTGACCTCTTATTCAAGGACAGCACACTCTCCATTTTTGTAAGCCTTAAGATTGTTGGTCTGTCCCTTCATTATTTTAAGAAAATTTTCTGAGTGTAGAAGGTGGCTGGCCTCTGTTCTGCATTCATATCAGAGCAGCCTTTCATTGCTCAGCCCCTCTTACTAGTTTTCTTCTTTCTGTTTTCCCAACCCAATTCTCCTTTGCTACTCCAGAACCTTTGCTTCAAAGCCAACACCAAGCATGGAGAACATCTATATTTTGGTTGATAGGCTCCCCCAGAGGCAATACGTCTGTGTGTATGGGGGGGGGTGTAGTATGAATATTTTGATTATCAATTATCTGTGATCTTATGACTTGTTTGTGACCATAAACCTTCCTGCCCACGCCCCGTGTTTATTTGGCAGGGCAGGCTATTTGGGTGCTGGGTTTTACTAATCATGTGATAACTTCAGTTTCTAGAGCAGTTTTCTTAAAGCTATCAAAATCTTAATGTAGGAAATGATGTACCTGCAGTTCACAAGGTAGGTACAACATTCTTGGAAGCTAGTTAAAATTGAAAAGAAGGTGGCCTGCTGCAGGTTGCACACTGGGACAAGGAACTGTGAATTAACTGCCACTCCTCCACTCCGCTCATCTCTGCTCCCGCTGCCCATGAAAGTGCCCCTTCAAATATTATTGACCTTGTGCCAGTAGAAAACTGGAAAGGCTCAATCACTGGAAAGGATGGCTTAATTCCTAGCATGAAAATTTTAGAGCTGCTTTTATTTTGCAACAGGAGGAACTAAATTTCTTCTTCTTTTTTTTTTTTAAAGAGAGAGAGGAGGGATGGAGGGAGAGAGAGAGAGAAATTTTTTTTAATATTTAATTTTCAGTTTTCTGCGGACACAACATCTTTATTATTTATTTTTTTAATGTGGTGCTGAGGATCGAACCCAGTGCCCTGCGCTCATGCGCGTTACCGCTTGAGCCACATCCCCAGTCCCTAAACTTCTTTTCTTTGTGTACAGGTTCTGGTAAACACTGCTTGCTGTGTTTTGATGTTGGTGGCTAAGCTTATCCAGTGTATTGTGTTTGGCCCTCTGCGAGTGAGTGAGAGACAGGTAAGTCCTCATAGATCCTGTGACCAGATTAAACAAACAGACAAACAAATGCCTTTCTATCTGGTATAATTTCAAATGGATAGAAAAATCCCACAAGTACTACAGAGGATTCTTATATACACTTTATACAGATTCACCAAATACTATTGTTTTCTTCATTTGCTTTTCTATTCACTTTTTTTTTTTAAAGAGAGAGGAGAGAGAGAGAGAGAGAGAGAGAGAGAGAATTTTTAATATTTATTTTTTAGTTCTCGGCGGACACAACATCTTTGTTGGTATGTGGTGCTGAGGATCGAACCCGGGCCGCACGCATGCCAGGCGAGCGCGCTACCGCTTGAGCCACATCCCCAGCCCTCTATTCACTTTTTATTTATAGTACATATTTGCTTCTGATCTATTTGAACGTAAGTAGTAGACCTCATACCCCTTTACCCCCGCAGTACTTCGGTATGTAGCACCTAAGAGCAGAGGCACTGTCTTAAATACCCACAGCACAATGATCAAAATTGGGAAGTTTAGTATTGATGAAATACTTGGTTTAATCCACAGTCCAAATTCCACATAGCAAGGTTGTCCCAATATTGTCTTGTATAGCTATTTCTTTTTTGAGTGTAATTTTTAAAGAAGTATTGATTTGTTTTAGTCATCATAAATATCACTATTATTTAATTTATTTAAAAAATTTTTATTTATTTATTTTAATAGAATATATTTTGACATTTTGTACACAAATGGAGCCCAACATTCCTCTGGCTGTACATGGTGCAGGGTCACTCCAGTAGTGTATATGAGTAATATACATACATGTATATGAGTAATAATATCATCTCATTCTACCATCCTTCCCATCCCCGCCTCACCCCCACTCTCCTCTATACAAACCAAAGTTACTTCATTCTTCCCAGTATCACTCTTTAGAATATGGTTTCTTTCCTAAAGGAATTTGCTGATTTTTTTCCCTTTTGGAAAACTAAATTAAGATTCATTGTTTTACAAGCAGAAAATTAGGTGACCTGTCCTTGTAGGTGAGATTGTCAAACACTAAACATCACTCTCAGAATGTATATCTGGGCAGGGAACACTTTCACTAAGGAATTATGCCACAAGCATACCATACAGATTGGTAATTCTCCAAGATTTTGGTGGGTAGAGTGTGGAATGGTGTGTTTTAAGGACTTTAGACCTGGCCTTCAAAACCACAAAAGAACAAAACTATTTTACTTTACTTCATCCTGGTGATAAGACACAGGAACCTCCTGCATTAGAAGTATAGCAATAGCTGGCTTCTCCGAGTTTTCAGAGTACAGTGTTCTAGTCTCCTTACCCTTTTCAACCTTGCTCTCCTCCCTCACTCACCCCAGTACTGGGGATTGAACCCAGGGGCACTCTACCACTAAGCTACATCCCTAACCCTTTTTAAATTTTGAGACAGGGTCTTGCTTACGTTGCCCAGGCTGGCCTCAAACTTGTGAACTTCCTGCCTCAGCCTCCCAGGTAGATGGGGTTACAGACTTATGCTGCTGTACTGTCCCAAGTCTCCTTTTATAAAGTCTGCTGGGCCTGGTTTAGAGCTGCAATATGGTTCTCTGGTTGAGCCCTTGCATACTGTGGCGAACAGAACTATTCTATTTTCCCAGAGATTTTTTTCGTTAATGAGTATTCAGCACTTTCTCCAAAATATCAGTTCCAGAGCTCTCCCAGATGGATTCAGTAGAAAGAAAAGATTTTTCTAAATACAATAGACCTTTTAGATGCTTCTTTCTTCATTTTCTTTTCTTTTTTTTTTTTTTTTTGTGGGCCAGAAATTGGTCAGGCTAGAGGCAAGCCATCTAATTGCTGGTGGAATGATCTGGCCCCAGTAGGCCTTAAATATTTTGTTTTCCCTAAAATGATAGCTATCAGGTGGAAATGAACAAGAAACAACCTTAGAGTGTTTCAAAGATTGCTTCTCTCAGTAGAGATGATGATAATGGGGCATATTCTTTATCCAGCACTTTCAGGATTTTCAGTATGGAATGCATCTTTCATACTGTTCTGGGTTGGCTTATTTTATGATTCATTAATCATAAAATCATTCAGTAGCATTAAGAACTATCTGAGGGGCTGGGAATGTGGCTCAGGCGGTAGCGCGCTCATCTGGCATGCGTGCGGCCTAGGTTCAATCCTCAGCACCACATACCAACAAAGATGTTGTGTCCGCCGAGAACTAAAAAATAAATAAATATTTTAAAAATTAAAAAAAAAAAAGAACTATCTGAAGGGCTGGAAAGAGTAGCTTGATGGCAGAATATTTGCCTAACATGTAGAAGGTTCCCAGTTTGATCCTCAGCAATGCAAAAAAAGAGAAAAAGAAAAAAAAAAAGAACCGTTTTGATTTAGAACTCTATAAAATTAATATAGGTTTGCTCTGTTTGTGCTTAAGGTTCAAGAAGTAATTACAGAGGCAAAGACATTCAATATCTAAAATGTAAAATGCAATAAATATTAAAATATTTTCTCTCCCGGTACTAGGGATTGAACCCAGGGACTCTATACTGCTGAGCTACATTCCCAGCTCCTTTTATTTATTTATTTATTTTTGAGACAGAGTCTCTCTCAGTTGCTGAGGTTTACCTTGAACTTGCAAACCTTCTGCCTCAGCCACCTGAGTTGTTGGGATTATAGGTGGGTACCTACCAACATGCCTGGCTCAAATATTAAAATCTTTTAAGTAAAAATTTAGAGCAATAAGTTATTTAAAAAATTTATTTGAGCACTTAATGCCTATTATTACTTTTTAGAGCACTTTATATATAGTAACTTATTTAACTCCCCAACAATCTATGAAATGTATGTTGTATGACAAAGCACAGGAATGTTAAATGACCACTCCAAGGTCACCCAGCTGTTAGGTTGCAGGGCCAAAGTTCAAAACAAGGGCACAAAATATCTAGGTCCATCTTATACTTTTCCTGCTCCAGCTCTGGAAATAGACATTCACCAAAGATTCCTAGCTTATTTTATTGGGGAATGGTATTGGAAGCCAAAATCTATATTTGTGCTCATTGCTGCTGGGATACCTGGTTTTTTGATGGACAGAGTTCAGAAATACTCTTCGATTTTTCTCTCTAGTTCATTTTTTCCCCTTGATAAATGAGGTAGACCCCAGAGTAGCCTAAAAACAATTATTAGTTTTTAATAGTCATGTTGTCAGTTTGTCATGCATTTGGGCTCAGTTATTTCTGTTTTCAATTTTTTTTAAATTTGTAAAACATTTACCTGGTTCAAAATTATATATAATATACTTATAGGGTTGGGGTTGTGGCTCAGTAGTAGAGCACTTGCCTAGCACATATGAGGCACTAGGTTCAATCTCAGCACCACATAAAAATAAATAAAGGTGTTGTGTCTGTCTACAACTAAAAATTTTAAAAAGTATACTTAGAAGTCATGCTTCTGTCCTCTTCACCCAGTTCCCTCCCAGCCCCATAGAAAGCTAGATAATTGTACATTTTAATATCCTTTAACTTTCACTCCCCCTTTGTTAGGGGAAATGAAGATTTTTTAAACTGGAAGTCAGAAAAGAGTACCAGAGAAGTGGATATTGGGAACCAAGTGATCAGAAATCATAAAGATATTAATAATCTTTGATTTGGTAATGAAGTAGAAATGCATGCAAAGATACATACACAGCTATTCATTACAATGTTTTCTGAGTGGTGGAAACATTAAAATATATATTGACGGGTAAAGTTCTCACAATATGATAGGTGAATTAATAAGAGCACTGTCCAAAAATTGATATATTTTGTACTTTAGAGGAAGATGCATAAAAATATTGAAGCATTGTTTATATTTTAATTTTCTTGGGAGTTTTCATACTTAGATTATGGACTAGCAAATGATCATGTACTATTTTTTTAATTCAAAGAATTTTTTTTCTTTTAAAGAAAATGTAATCTTCAGTTGTTTCAGAAGCCAGAGAGCAGAATTATGAAAAATGATACTTCTTGCCCTTACTGTTCTTTTCTACTATGTGTAGAAAATATTTTTATTTTTTAATACAGGTAGTAGACTGATATTATTACCTTTTTAATGGCTAAAATCAGGGTATAACCCACAGTTTACAAATTACTTTCTGGGTATCTCACTTCTATAGAGAATTCTTTTATTCTTTGCCCTCTGTTTTCTTGTGCACTAGTGTTTGAAAGTGAAGTATGGGATCTGCGTTAAGTGTGTTGGTATTCACTGTTATAACCCTTTTTCTTTTTAGCACCTCAAAGACAAGTTTTGGAATTTTATTTTCTACAAGTTCATTTTCATTTTTGGTGTGCTGAATGTCCAGACGGTGGAAGAGGTGGTCATGTGGTGCCTGTGGTTTGCTGGACTTGTTTTTCTGCATTTGATGGTTCAGCTCTGCAAGGACCGATTTGAATATGTGAGTTTTTAGTCAAGCTCTTTGCTGGCTTGGTCACCCATTTGCCAGGTGTGAATTGTGTAATATGAATGAGCCACTGTGGGCATGTTTGGGGTAGCTCTCAAGGGGCACACTCTGGGTCAGGTACTCATTGCCTGTTCTTGAGGAACATCTGCTGCTGCCATGCAGAATCATTCCTCTCCCAGGGAGGTTTTCTCCCAGCCCCACAGGTAGTGTGTTACATTATAATTGAGTGGAGTCAGTTCACCTAACCAAACTGCACACGCAGTGCAAGGAAACCTTGGTATATACACTGAATAAAATCCGATCTCTTATGTGTATTTTCTGTTCTCCTCATCTCACATTGCCCCCCTTCACCCTGATTCTTGGTTTGTTTTTTGGGATAATATGAATTGAACTTACGGGTGCTGTGGCACTGAGCTACATCCCTAGCTCTTTTTAATTTTTTGAGACAGAATCTCACTCTGTTGCCCAGGCTGCCTCAAACTTGTGATCCTCCTTGCTTTCAGACTCCTTAGCAGCATGCACCACCAGCCTGGCTCATGGAGCTCTTCTCCTGTCGAGTTTATAGTGTTTCTCCTGTGGGCCAGGACCATTCTGGCTCTCTCAGTGTCCCTGATTAGAGAAGTGAGTCCTTTCTTGTGTGGGTAGGGAGCTGCCTTGACTCCAGGGCAGAGCCGTGCAGGGGCACTCCCTCACCTGTGCTTCTGCACCAGGTCCTGAGTAAGCATGCTCCTGCTTCTGCCTCAGTTAAACCCGGTCCAGGGCCTCCTTTGCCCTGTCTTCACCCAGTCTTCACTGTTGAAGTACCCTTCCACTTCTGTTTGAGTTAACTGCACTCTCAAAGGCTTTACTTCTTTTACAATTCAGCCTCTGTTCCCTGTCACAAATAGGAGCTTCTAACCTCCCAAACTGGTTTGTTATCTACACCTGCTACCTCAGGAGTTGCAGCTCCAGGCTTTCTTTTCAGGCTATTGCCTTTCCTTGCATAATATTAACATAGCATTTTAATAGTGGTAAATCTGCACCTGATTACATTTCAGGTGTCTTAGCACTGACAGACTAGTACTAGAAGTGAACTTGGGGGTGGGAGTGAAGATAGAGAAAGAAACAACAGAACATGACACTGTTCTGAGTCTGGTGAATGTTACAAGAGATAATTGTATATACTCTTGGAAAATTGCTTTTAGAGGCTTATCTTGGTGGTAGGAAGATATAAGATGAAAATATAATGCATATTATTATATTTCATAAAGTAAATGATAAAGACCTGTGTTAGCAGCTTATGCTCATATTTAAGTCTCTGGAGAATTTTTACTGTGTAATAGTGGGATACTTTTTGTGTCCATACACGAAGATGCCAAGCTTGACTGTTTCTCAGTGCGTTTTACCACTGCTGTGAAGAAGAATGAGCTACCTTTCTGTTCTGTTCCTTTCAGCTTTCCTTTTCTCCCACTACACCGATGAGTAGCCATGGGCGAGTCCTGTCTCTGTTGATTGCTATGCTGCTTTCCTGCTGTGGGTTAGCAGTTGTCTGCTGTGTCACAGGCTACACCCATGGAATGCACACCTTGGCTTTCATGGCTGCAGAGGTAAGATGCTGAACACAGGGTTGCTCTGATTATATTTGCATTTTCTAGGAAGTTAGAGGGTTATTGATAGGTTTCACCCATGAAATGATGGCTTTGATTTTTAATTTTATCTTTTTTTTGGTACTGGGGATTGAACCTAGGAGTGTTTGCCATGAGCTACATCTCAAGTCCATTTTATTTTTTATTTTGAAATAGGGTCTCACTAAGTTGCTGAGGCTGGCCTTGAACTTTCTTTCTGCCTTAGCTTCCAGAGTAGCTGGAGTTACCGGAGTGCACCACTGCACCTGGTTTGATCTTTCATTTTAACAAGCATTTAGTGAGTTCCTTTTTTTTTCTTTCTTTTTTTTTTTTTTTTTTGTTGATTACTGGTGCTGAATGCTTTTGTGGTATTTCATGTAATCCTTGCTACATCCTAATAAAATAATTATTTTCCCCCACAATTACATTGTGCTTGCCAGATGCTAGGGGTTGTTCTAAATACTTGACATGAATTGACTCATTTTTATTATTCCTATTTATGACAGGGAGCCTGAGGCATGAGGGTAAAATGAATTGTTTGAGGTTCCAGGGTGGCAAGTGGCACAATACAAATCCTCTGGCTCCAGAGTAGGATGAGTATCCCCTTAAGATGTTATAAACACCTGGTAGTGGTGATGAATGAAACATCTACTTTTTTTTTTTTTTTTTGTATTGGGGATCAAACCCAGGGAGCACTTATATTGAGCTACACCCCTAGCCCTTTTTTATTTTGAGACAGGGTCTCACTAAGTTGCTGAGTCTGGCTTTGAACTTGTGATCCTCCTGCCTGAGCCTCATGTCTCACTTGTGCCACTATGCCCAGCAATATTTAATTTTTTAAATTAAAATTTTACAGAATAATAAATATGCAACTATAGCCATTACTTTGAAGAAAAATATCTTTATTGTTGTGTTGAGGATCAGACTCAGGGCTGTACACCCTAGACCTCCAAGAATATTTTAAAATTCAAAACAAGATTTAGTTATTTCAAAACCTTCCAGAAGATACCAGTTTCTGTTCAGTGGAAACCTAAATTTTTATATGTCCTTAAATTCATGTGGCTGTGTTTGCTTTTTCCTCAGCCCAAAGACCAAACTACTTTTATCTTACCTTTAAATGCATTATTTAAAAACAGTAAAACATATAATAGTTTCTCTTTATTTGTGATTTTACTTTTCTCTGATTTCAATTATCTGTGGTTAACCAGTCTGAAAATATTAAATGGCTAATTCCATAAGCAATTCTTAAGTTGATTTTTTTTTTTTTTTTGGTGCTGGGAATTGTTTGAGGTTCCAGGGTGGCAAGTGGCACAATATAAGATGAAATATAATGGACTGCATGTGCTCTGCCACTGAGCTAACACCCACAGCCCCACAGCCCCTAAGCTTTAAACTGTGCATCCTTCCAAGTAGCATGATGAAATCTCTTGCCATGCCTCCCGGAACATGAGTCATCTCTTTGTACAGTATGTCCACATTGTATGTGCTTCTCACCTGTTAGTCACTTACCAGCCTTCTCATTTGTCAGATAAACTGCCGCAGTACTTCTGTTCAAGTAACCCTTACTTTACTTAATAATGACCCCAACGTGCAAGAGTGAGTAGTCGTGCAAAGGAGGCTCCAGGCATAAAACATGGAAGCACAGGTGAACTATTGTACTGAAGCTGTGCTTCAGGGCATTAGGGCATTTAGGATGGTTAGATGAAGGATCCAGTGCTATCTGTGGTTTTAGTCTCCACTGGGATCTTAGACATATGTCCTGTCGATAAGAAAGGATTGTGGTATTAGATATGTTGATGCTAATTAGATAATACCAAAACAAGTTAAGTATGAACTACTAATTGGGAATTTGTTAGAGCAGGGTTAGAATTACTTTTGCTTCATAGTGTTCATTTCAGAATACCATGTAGTAGTGTAAAAATTAGGAAAGGAGCATTTGGATACCAAATAAAAAAAAATTTGCAATACTAGTTGAATGCTTTTCTACATATGAAAGGCATACATTTATATTTCCTCTTGGAAAAGATCTGCTTAAAACTTTATTTACACTGACTTCCATTAACTAGTTTGCTTTAGATACATTTTAATATAAAGCTCAATTTGAGCCTCATGTTGGCCTTTTTTTTTTATTATTTAGCTTCTAGTTAATATTAGGCCAAACTTTGAAAATGACACAATTCCAAATAAGTAGATTTAAATTAGGTTTATTGGGTCATACTATAGTAGTATAGTATATAGTTTTATTTCAGCTTGTTGCTGTTTATTCTTTTAAGAAAATTTAGCATGCTATAGATTTGATGTTTTGAACTGAGTTTTTTTTAATATTCATAGTGTTTTCCCTTTATGTAAAATATTTTCCATTTAAAAATGGGAGTTTAATCTCAAAACAAATTTCGTTCCAATTGGTTAAGAGAAAATTTTTCTTACTGTTAATTTTCATAATAAAAATACCATGAGAGCTGGGTGCAGTAGTGCAAGTCTATAATCCCAGTGGCTTGAGAGACTGAGGCAGGATAATTGCAAGTTTGAGGCCAGCTTCAGCAATTTAGCAAGGCCCTGAGTAACTTGGCAAATAAAAAATGAAAAAGGGGGGCTGGAGATGTGGCTCAAGCGGTAGCGCGCTCGCCTGGCATGTGTGCGGCCTGGGTTCGATCCTCAGCACCACATACAAAGATGTTGTGTTCGCCGAAAACTAAAAAAAATAAATATTAAAATTCTCTCTCTCTCTCTCTCTTTCTCTCTTTCTTAAAAAAAAAAAAAAAAAAGGGCTGAGCACGGTGGTGCACGCCTGTAATCCTAGTGGCATGGGAGACTGAGACAGGAGGATCGTGACTTCAAAGCTAGCCTCAGCAATGGTGAGGTGCTAAGCATCTCAGTGAGACCCTGTCTCTAAATAAAATACAAAATAGGGCTGGATGTGGCTCAGTGGTTGGGTGTTTCTGAGTTCAATTCCTGGTACAAAAAAAAAGAAAAAAGAAAAAAAACAACAACAAGGGCTGTGGATGTAGCTCGGTGGTTAAGTAACCCTGGGTTCAGTCCCCAGTACCCAAAACAAAAAAAAAAGAAACCCAATTACTAAGAGAGCCTCATATTTTGATTTACTTTATTCTCTTCTGGTAGACAAAGGAAGGGAGTACACAAAGCACATAGGAGTGAGCAGGTGCTCCTGTCTAAGATAGTAGTGTCTTAAACTCTATTTTGAATTTACAGTATCCCCAAGCAATCACACACCTTTTTGGGAAATTATTTATAATGACTTATTGTTATATCAAATGGAAGTGATTGTCATAGTACTAGGACAAACCTCAAGATTGTAGGAGGCATCTCTAGGAGGTGCTGTAATTGGTCGTCACCTGTGAACAAGAACATGCTCAATAAAATTTGGGTTTCTAGGTTATGAAAACATTTAATGAAAATTTGAGGCAGAGAAAATAAATGGTTGGTGAACTTGATGCTTTTTAACTGAACTGAGAAATGCTTATCTTTTACAGTCTCTTCTTGTGACAGTGAGGACAGCCCATGTGATTTTACGGTGAGTAGAAATTTGGGAGGGGAGAGAGATGATATACTCATTTGGTTAGCTTTAAGTTGTAATAGATGTAAAATACATAGAAATGACCAAATTATAATGTCCTTAAACTAGATTCAGTTGGTAAATTTAAGATGTTTTTCTTTTTTTCTATATATGTATTGTAGGTATGTAATTCACCTCTGGGACCTCAACCATGAAGGGACCTGGGAAGGCAAGGGAACCTACGTCTATTATACCGATTTTGTCATGGAGCTCACTCTTCTGTCCCTGGACCTCATGCACCACATTCACATGTTGGTAAGTTCCCTTGGAAAGAGCTCTGACTGAAGGCTTAGACTTTCAGAATAAGGAACCCAGGTTTGTACATTAAAAAATGAAATATTTGGAATATAGATGGCTCACTTAAAAGTGACTGTAGCGTGCACTCTCCTCTTTTTGCCATTGGGTGTAGAGCAGTATTGGGGAATTGCTCTGGCTGGTGCCTGGCACAGGAGATGATTGCTGTCCCAAGAGACTTGGTTAACTCTGCTGACCAAGTCAATAAATCATTCTTATAGTATGAAATTAAAGGAGATGCCTCTCTCTATAATTTCTGTGGCTTCTCCAATTTAGTGTTTACTTTGTAGGTGGTCATGGGAATTCCTGCTATGTTTGCTACTTCAAGAATTCATAAATTTTGTGTCTTTTAATTAAAAACAAAGTTCTTGGGGCTGGGGTTGTGGCTCAGCAGTAGAGTGCTTGCCTAGCACGTGTAAGGCCCTGGGTTCGATCCTCAGTACCACATAAAAATAAATAAATAAAATAAAAGTATTGTGCCCAACTACAACTAAAAAATAAATATTTTTTTAAAAAAGTTCTTATACTTAATTCCTACCTTGATTTGCCAAGAAAGAAATTATAATGCTGTAAAGCTGCTTCATTAGTGAGCACTTCAGTGAGTAATAATGGCGAGACTCAACCTAGTTGAGAGGCAATTCATTTATATTATAAGCCTGTAAAAATAATATTTTTAAATTATTGGATTTAGTTGTGACAATGGTGCACACCTGTAATCCTGGTGATTTGGGAGGCTAAGAAAGAAGGCTTGCAAATTTGAAGCTAAAATTAGTGAGAGACCCTATTATCAAAAAATTTAAAGGGCTGAGGATATAGCTCAGTGATTTAAAAAAAAAAATTACTGGGTTACGTGTAGCACATTTTTAAGTCTACTTTTGTTTTTGTTTTTTAGTTGTAGACGGACACAATATCTCTATTTTATTTTTATGTGGTGCTGAGGATTGAACCCAGGGCCTCCCACATACTAGGCGAGCACTCTACTGCTGAGCCACAACCCCAGCCCTTTAAGTCTACTTTTTGAAAGTAACTTTGAGAACATACTTAAAAAAAAAAAAAAAAAAAAAAAAACTTTCCTTCCTCCACACCAAAAAAGGGTGAAAATGCCCAGATATAACCGTTAACATTTTGTTGTATTTTACTTTATATATGTTACTTTATATAGTCAAAAACATGTAATCATACATTGAGATCTTATTTTTTTGTTTGTTTATTTTTTGGTACCAGGGATTTTTAAAAATTTTTTTATTTGAGACACAGTCTCACTAAGTTGCTTAGGGCCTTACTAATTTGCTGAGGCTGTCCTCAAACTTGTGATCTTCCTCCTGCCTCAGCCCCCCAAGTGGTTGAGGTGACAGGCATATGCCACCATGCCCAGCTGACAGATCCTATGTTCTACATAGTTTAATCAATGGAATGATTGTATTGGGAATTGAACCTAGAGCCTCATGCATGCACTTTATCTCTGATATATCCCTAAACAAGTTTAGTTTTAGTAAACTAATATATTACAAATATTTTCCTGTGCTAGCAACAAATATTCTGAACCATTTTAATACCTTCAGGATAAAAATTTCATCATATAGGTTTATCAGTTTTAATTAACCGAACTCCATAATTGGCTGTTTAGATTATATTTGTTGTTTGCTGTTTCATAACTGTGCATAATTTTTTTAAAAAATCACATTAGTTTTTTCAAGGTATATCCTGACTTTTTCACTCAACAAATATTTTAGCAAGTAATTGATGTTTAGAATTTTTATCAGACAATTGTGTATTATAATTAATAAACAAAGTTATTGTCTATATAATATTGCAGTGTATGAATTTACAACTTAACTGTTCTCCTGCTGGGCATTTTGCTCATTTTCATATATACTTTTATAATTCTATGGATGGACATCTTTTTTGCATAAAGCTTTTAAGTTTCTGATTAGTTGCTCAGGAAAGATTGCTGGCAGAGGGCGTGTACATTGTTTAGGGTAATGAAATAGATATATGCAGTAACATCCTGAAAGATTGTTCCAGTTCACCTTCACTAATCATTAAGAGTTTCTATTGCATGCAGTACCTTCATCAGTAGCAACTTCATGTGCATTTTTATTGTGTATTTTATTGTTTTCTCTCTATTTCAGTTATTTGGCAATATCTGGTTATCTATGGCCAGCCTGGTCATCTTTATGCAGTTGCGTTACCTGTTTCATGAGGTGCAGCGTCGAATCCGTCGGCACAAGAACTATCTGCGTGTGGTCGGGAACATGGAAGCCAGGTAAGTAAGAGCAAATTGATGTTGCCCAAGTTTGCTCATTTTAGCTCTTTAAGAATAAAAAGTCCTAGGGCTGGGGTGGTGGCTCAGTGGTAGAGCACTTGCCTAGCATGTGTGAGGCACTGGGTTCGATTCTCAGTACCACACATAAATAAATAAAGGTCCATTGACAATTAAAAAATATTAAAATAAATAAAGAATAACAAGTCCTATCCTGTCAGAACTTGGTGTTATAACCTGCTAACTGAATGGGAAAGAGTATAGGTTCTGGAGTCAAACTGCCTCCATGTGAGTCCCACTTAGCTCTGGGTGATTTGGGGTAGTTTATTAATTCCTTGTGCCCCAGCTACTTTATCCCTAAAATAGAGGATAGCAGAACTTTCTGCTTAGAATTGTCAGAAGGATTCCATGAGATATTAGGTTCATATTATTACATCATTATTTTATTGTCATTGATATTAAATGGAAACTTCTCTGAGCTTCTGCCCTCTATTTTGTAAAGGTGGGTTTACACACACAACTCACACACATTGAAGAAGATACTCCTAACCTAAGACTAAGCCAAGTATGAAGCTGCACAATTAATGGTCGTCCTTTTTTGTTTCTGGGGAATAGTTTGGGTCTCTGGGGTCTTACTTCCTTGATTTTCCCAAAAATGTGCCCTGGAGAGATCATTAACATGAGCCAAGTGTTCCTTGAAGGCCTGTGAAGATGAACGAAATGTTTTTTACTGGTCCTCAGTTCTGTTCCATTATAAAGATGAAGTCTGTAGAATAGTGTACACTTACGTGTGTAAACTTTACAGAGATTCCACAGGGCCTCTTTTGTTTCTTACAGGTTTGCTGTTGCAACTCCAGAGGAACTGGCTGTCAACAATGACGACTGTGCCATCTGCTGGGACTCCATGCAGGCTGCAAGGAAACTGCCCTGCGGACATCTTTTTCACAAGTAGGGACTTCATGAAGGGCCTCTTGGTACTGGTGTTCTGTCCAGGACTTGTGGGTGCTTTTTGTCCCTGGGCTCAAGGATAATCCCAGCAGAGGAACAGATATAGTTCCTCACACTGGCTATGGAGTTGAAAGAAAATATTGGGTCGGGGGAATCCTTGTTTTAAAACAGCTTATTACTTAACTGAGGGGAGACAGTGTATATTTTTACATTTTGCACATGTCCCCAAAGCAGCATAAAACACACCCCAGAGCAGTGGTCTGAGGTGGGGACCACTAAATGACCTGTAGAACCGTGACTGTTGGCAAGGGTTGCAAAACAGGCTCTTCTATAGACCTTTGAGATTGAAGAAGATCTGTTACTTTCAGAGATCTTTGTCAGGGCTTTATTGATGGATTTGATGCTTTGATATTGGTGGTGGATCTTGAGGTATGTTTAGGCCCTTTGCAGTCAGTTTTGCATATTGAGAAATTTTTGATCTTTAATCTTCCTTATTTTCTATTTTCAATAGTTTTCATGTTTCTTTTTAATATCAGTAGAGCTTTGAAACTGTAATGTCCTACTCAATAAATGTAGTGACAGACATTTCTTTTTATGTTGTGTTGGGCTCTGGGATAAAATAGAAATGACAGACATGGTTTTTCGCTTTTGTGGAGTTTGCAGTCAAATGGATGAGACAATCATGGATTAACTGTGTATATTGACATGTGCTCTGTAGGAAAGGAACATGGTTCTTCAGAGTGAGTAACAAAGGAATCTGACTCAAACTTGGAGGAACTGACTTGAGTATGAGCAGCAGTCAGGTCTGGGAAGGGGATTCGGTGGGAGAGATGTGAGACAGTGAGCATCTATAGTAGGAGGGAATGTGTTGGGTTGAAGGAACTGGGAGGGAACCTGGTGCCTGGAACTCAGTGGAAGAGGGAGGAGTGTTTACTGAGGCAGGAGAAGCAGGGAATGTGGCCCAAGGGGGAGGTTAGAAGTGGGCGGAGATGCCTTTGAAGGCTTTAATTGGGGATGGTGCATAAGACTTGCAGCCTGAAGAGGTTAAGGGACAAGTTACAGACTGCCACAGTGGCTCAGGGCATGTTGAGAGCTTGAACTACTGTGTGAGAAGTGCAGTTGGACTGAAGTAGACTGATTTAAGAAGGATTAGAAGGACATGGACTAGATTGGCTGTGGGGGAAAGAGGAATAAAGGGGTCAGGATTGTCCTAGTTTTGCAACTTGTGCAGTTACCATAGAGTTACCCAATAGTTGGCTTCATTGAGGTTGAAAGGTGGGAATTTACGCACATTTCTCAGAAACTTTATAGTTCCAAAGGAGCTCTTTAGCTAGTTGGGAAGAGTAAGAGTGTATTTCAGCCCAGAAGAAATTTTTTGTTGTTGTTTTTTGAGATCAGGTCTTATCTACATTGCCCAGGCTGGCTTTGAACTCCTGGACTCAAGTGATCCTCCGCCCTCAACCTCCTGAGTAGCTGGGACCACAACTACTTTGATGGAAGTGAAATTCAGATAACACACAATCAGCCACTTTAAGGTGTACAATTCAGTGGTGTTTAGTGCATTCATGGTGTTGTGCCACCACCACTTCTAAGTTCAGAACTTTTCATCACCCCAGAATAATACTCATACTCATGGGTAACCATTCCTGGTTCTTCCCTCCCAGTCTGCTTTCTGTCTCCATGGATTTCCCTCTTGTGGACAATTCATATAAAGTGAATCATACTTATGTCTGTGGCCTTTAGTAACTGACTTCTTTCATTTAGCGTAATGCTTTTGAGGTTGCTCAAGTTGTAGCAATACTTCACTTCTTTTTATGGCTAGCTTTAAATAATTCTGTAATAAATAGTTGCCGCTGATAGATATTTAGTTTCTTTCCACCTTTTGACTATTCCGTGAATAATAATGTGAACATTTGGGAGCATGTATCTGAGAACCTGTTTTTAATTCTTTTTAGTAGATAGCTCGGAGTGAAATTGCTGGGTCACATTGTAATCCCACCTTTACCTTCTTGAAGAGCTGCCATGCTGTTTTCCACAGTAGTTGCACCTATTTATATTTTTATCAGTAATGTATGGAGATTCTAGTTTCTCACATTCTCACCAGTGCTTGTTATTTTTCTAATTAGAGCCATCCTAATGGGTGTGAAGTGATATCTCATTGTGATACTTTTTGTTTTTTTAGTGATTGTTATTTAATTTTTGTGGCAGAATATACACAACATAAAATTTATCATTGTAACCATTTTACATGTGTAGTTCAGTGATGTTAAGTGCAGTCTTATTACATAAAACCTCACCATCCATCCATCTCCAGAACTTCTCATCTTCCCAAACCGAAACAGTGTACCTGCCCTCTGCCCTTGTGAATCATTCTGTGTCCTGTCAATTTGACTACACTAGGTACATCTATTAACTTTGGATTTATTTTGTTCTTTTTTGGTTCCATTCGTATAAAATTATTGATTTGAGAAGTTTTTTTAAAAAAAGCATTTTTAGATATTGAGCTAATATATTGAGCATTGTTTTCTCTGTATCTCAAAAGTTTTGGAATGTTCTGTTTTTGTTTTCATTTGTCTCAAAGTATTTTCTAAATAATTTCTTTTTTGAACCAAGAAGGTCAATGGTTGACTCAGGAAATAATAGTGGTTTAAAATTGGAATTTAATTGTAAAACACTTTGGAGTGAGCAAACCACTGTCGGAACATCCTCTTGGCCTTCACTGCATGGCTTTAGTTTTTGAGTGGGAGAAGGATGGTGTGATGACAAACTAAGGCAAATTCATTTTAATTTTAATTTGTGATAAAACTAACTGCCTAGATTCCAGCAAAAAATAGATAATTTGTTGCTTATAAAAGATATTTTTTTTGGTAGATTTCAGAGTCCAGTGAATATATAATTACATTGAAGTATCATATATAGAATGAGGAGAAGTAGTTCTTCATAGAATATTATTATAGCTATGAAGAAAAATATGTTTTCTCTGGAGATCATCATGTTATGGTGAGGCCATCCTTTGTAACTTTGCACACATGACAGATATTTTTGAGAAAAAAATAGCATTTTTACTCAGTGTCTCTGAGCTCTCAGAGAACAAATCTATAAAATGGGAAAGGACTGGAGAGCACTTCGTCTGACCTTCTCATTTGTCACTGGAGAGGGCTGACTAGAAAGATTGAAAGATTTGCCTGGGTCACGCAGGTGGGGAGCGGCTGACTTGGGACAAGGTCTTATATTTCCTATTTCATATTCTAGTATCTTTCTTCTTAATGGTCATTACAAGATTTTATTGAGTATTTGCTATACTTAGGGCATTATCATCTCCCGAGAGAGGAGGAAAGAAGCTTTCAGCCCTTTTGGAAAAGCAGAATGTGAAAAGTAGAGGGTGGGACAGAGGTGCTCCGTGGAAGGAAGATGTTACAGCTAGGGAGGAGAGTGAGCAAGGAAAAGACCTGAGAGGTTGTCTTGCTGCCAAAAAAGTTGGATCGGTGGTTTCAGCAAGTCAGGTCTTGTCAGAAGTGATATGGAATAAAAGGAGCTTTAGTGAGTAAGTGAGTGAGATCCCCCAAATCAAAATTTTGAAAACAGGGCCAAGGTTATGACCACTTTGGTGAATAGCTAAAGCAAAGTGAAAGAAAAGATCATTGAAGCAGATGACTCAAGGACATAAGAGGCCAGGATGTTGGAGGATTCAACAACATGGAGTTTGAAGCCGCCAAATTGAGTTGTAAAGGCAGATGGTGGGCCACGCTGTGAAGTCCCATTGAGCAGGGGTCAGGATCAGGAATGATGGAGCTTGAAGCATAGTAAAGAATTAATGCCCACAGTAGGACATGCTAGAGGTGTTATTAGTGAAGTAGGGTAAAGAGTTAATGTCCACAAGTGTTTTTCAACTTTAGATCTCACTAATGGCAAATAGAGAATAAAATTGGAATGCATTTGATAATTCAAAGTACTTCTGGGGAATTCTCACAAAATATGGTAGGGAAAAGTTGAGCACACTCACCTGTCTTATTTTGGACTTTTTGGTAGCTCCTGTCTTCGTTCCTGGCTAGAACAAGATACATCCTGTCCAACATGCAGAATGTCTCTTAATATTGCTGACAATAATCGTGCCAGAGAAGACCATCAAGGAGAGAACTTGGATGAGAATTTGGTTCCCGTAGCAGCCACTGAAGGCAGACCTCGCTTAAACCAACACAATCACTTCTTCCACTTTGATGGTTAGTTGGTTTCAATCTGTAAAACTATGCCCATGGGTTTTATCCCCTACGGAGATGCTGTTTGAATTCGAAATAGCTGGCTACAGATCAGTTTAATATACTCTTTCCATTTAATTGAAAGTGTTGAGAATGGATGGATAGAGAGAGAAAACTGAAGAATTTTTCTGTGCCTTGCAGTTTGCTAAGATTCTGTCATAATGGGTGTGGTGGAGGTAGGGAGAGGAGACAGCAAGATTGAACCAACCATGATTTCGAGGAGTCCACTTAGCCAGTTCAGTAGTAAACCTTTGTTAATGGATTTTTTGCATTGGTGTGTTTCTTAAGTGTGTATTGCAAAATCATAGAGTAGCTTTCCAGTGAGTATTGGAAGCAGAATCAGAACTGGAACCCTGTTACTTTTCTCATAAAATAGGAATATTCTGCTTCCTACACTGTTGAAAAGAGTTGTAATAAAAAACCACACTTAAATTCTAAGGCCATGGCACTATTGAGGGCTGATCGATCCTCTTTCCTTAATTGACATACATTGAGCTGTTGTTGGTTTCTGTCAGCTCTGGGACCACCTTTTAAGTTCCCATTTCTGATATTGCTATAAAACAGGTACCCTTGGGTTTGTGCTGGGGGTAATGGTGCTGTTGGGATCTGTGATTGGAATCTCCAAAGGTGGAGTAAAATGGGCGTGGTGGCATGTGGGTGCAGTCCTTAAAAGGCTTTGGGAGAATGGAATCTAGTCTCTGAGAGTAGATGAGCTGCCTGGGTCTGGGTGCTGGAGGGATTTCAAGGGCTGGTCATTGTTGGTCATTGTTCATTTACACTAGGAGATCTTAGAGATGGATCCTGGCTTATGCAAGCCATTATTATGAGCGATTATCCCTAAAGATTATCCCTAAAAAAAAACAAACAAATAGTCACCTTTATTTGTTCCTGTAAGTATATGAAATAAGTATCCATTTTTTTAATGAGTGCATTTTATCTGACAAGGCATTAGAGATGGCCATTTTACTTGATTTTACATTCCATGCCTTAGTGCTGTTTTGTGAAGAAATGAAGTAGCACCTTACCTGTATAGGTAGTTGTTGTATAGCCATTGCTTGATGGCACTGTATCTTGGGCTTCCTTTGATTAGGGAAATGGGAGAAATGGCAGCCTTTCACAAGCATGTGTTATAGAACTCTTTGAGAAGAATTTTGAACCAGAAAACCAAGGTCAAAACTTAATCACATTGTTGAGGATAAAATGCAACATGAAAATAATTGTGAAATGACGTCTCCAAACGATTAGTATTTTGTGTAATTGCAAATATGAGGAAGAAACTCATCTGTTGTAGCAGCTGTAGAGCTGTGGAATCCTTCCTTGGATTCTAGGCCAAGGGAGTGGATTGGGGGTTGAATGGTTCAAGGGCCCTGGAAAGCAGGAAAGGCTAGTTAGTGGCTCTTGAACCCAGCTGCCTGTTTCCATCCTGGCCATTGTCATTAAATTTTGTGATCTTGGACATGAAGTAAAATGCACTCATTAACCTCTAAGCACTGTGGGCACCAAACACCAAGTGGGGAACTAGAGTCATATTTCTGAGAAGAATAGAATGAGAAGAATGGAAGGTACCATGTGGATTTCAGTGAGGACTAAGTGAACTAATCCACGTGAACTGTTTGGCCCAGCCCTGGGTGAGTACCAGCTGATAGAGAGTAGTCACCTAGAGGAGATACCCCCGGAAAAGACTCAGGACTCTAAAACTTGTGTTGCACTCTGGTTTGTTTTAGGGTCCCGGATTGCAAGTTGGCTGCCAAGCTTTTCAGTGGAAGTAATGCACACCACCAACATTCTTGGCATTACGCAGGCGAGCAACTCTCAGCTGAATGCAATGGTAGGACTTCTAGCTGCATTAAGAAGCTAACTGGTAATCGGGAGGGAGGGAAAAGCATTGGAATGTTTTTGCAGAGTTTACAGAGACTTTGTTGATCTTATTCTGCTCTGGTAGGAGAGCAAGACTCCCAGGGAATGAATTTATTTATTTATTTTTTATTTGGTACTAGGGATTGAACTCAAGAGCTCTTTGCCACTGAACTACATCCCCAGGTTTTTTTTGTTTTTTTTTTTTTTTTTTTGAGAAATGATCTTGCTAAGTTGCTGAGGGTCGCTAAGTTGGTAGGACTGAGCTGGAACTTGCAATCCTCCTGCCTCAGCCTCCCAAGTTGTTGAGATTACAGGCACAATGTACTTTTTACTAAAAATTGTGTGGGGCCTACCAAGTATGTTTTTTGCATTCTGTCCCTCCACTCCCAAAATAAGTGTGTATGTACCCATACACACAGTTGTGCATGGTGTACTATTGGTTCAAGGAGATTGTTCAGATACTTCACATTTCTTTGTATTTTCCAAAGCTGTTTTTCTTTTAGAATAATGGAGAATAATGTGTCACTATTATTGAAGTCTAGAATTCATTGTTAGAATATATGCAGGAATCTTAAAACACAAACTGCTTTATAGCACTTGCTTAGCATGTATGAAGCTCTGGGTTCAATCTACAGTACAAAAAAAAAAAAAAAAAAAAAAAAGGTTTAAACCACTTTAGCCTGCTTGGATTAGGATCTGTACTGGATAGGCCTGGTTAGCCCTGGCCAATACTTCAGAAAGTCATTGGATCATTTATTTTTTTTTTATTCATGCATTAGTCTTAATTTCTTTACCAAAATAATTTGTACTAAAGCCTTTTCTTATAACTGGGTTGTGCTAAGCATAGCACCTGTAGTATCACTAAGGTTAACAGGTGTTCCACTTTCAAGAAGGGTAAATTCTAGTTGGGGAGAAGATTATAAACACAAACAAGTAAGATAATTGGTGGTGCTGATCAGTACTCTGGAGATGGTAAGGCAGGCAGGCAGTGCAGTCAGCGGGTGAGTGAAGACTGTGTTGAAGGAGGCATTTGCAGAAGTTCTCTCTGAGGAGATAAAACTTAATAATGAGACATAAGGGACAAGATGGCAACAGATCCGTGGGAAGAAGGCGGTGGAAACAGTAGGTACAAAGGTGAGGAAGTGCCTGTTAAAGAGGTCACTATGTTTGGAGTGGAGCAGTTAGGAGGCTGAGGTTCTGATGAAAATTGAGATTGTAGAGCCAGGTCAGACAGGCTGTTGTTGGCTACAGTTAAGTTTAAATTTTTACAATGAAAGCACAAGAAAGCTGTTCAAAGCTTTTTATGCAACCCCTTCCCTTTCCCAGGATTGACAAGACATTTAGCAGAAATGATTTTACCTCTAGGAGGAAAATGAATTAGAGAGGGTCAAAAATGGAAGCATCAAGACCAGTTAGGGGGTTGTTGCCATTACTTGGACAGGGTTGTTAGCAATAAAGAAGAAAAGTAGATTTAAGATACTTTTGTTAGATGAACTGACAGCACTATGCTGCTTGATTTAGACGTGGGAGTACTTACTGGGGGAAGTGGAAGAATGGAAGTGGAAGGGTTGGGTTTGGTTAAGCAGCTAAGTAGATGGTGGTACCTTGTACTGAGCTGGGTAAGCCTTGGGGGGAAATAGGCTGGAGGACTTTCCACATTGGCTTCTTTCACTAGTAGTTTGTATTTAAGGTTCTTCCATGTCTGTTCATGGATTGATAGCTCATTACTTTTTAGCTTTGAATGACATGCCATTATCTGGATGTACAATCATTTATTAATCTATTCACTTACGACATCTTGGTGCTTCCAGGTTTTGGTAATTATATTTGGACATCTGTGTGCAAGTTTTTATAGAGAAATAAGTTTTTAACTTATTTAGATAAATTCCAAATTATTTAAATTTAGGCTGCTCTATCCAATGGTAAAAGTATGTTTAGTTTTGTTAGAAGCTGCCCATCTGTCTTCCAGAGTAACTACTCTTCTGCATTATTGCTGGCAATGAGAGCAAGCGCCTGTGGCTCTGTACGTACTCTTGTCAGCATTTGTTGTCACTGTTCCAGGTTTTGATTACTCTACTGGGTGTGTACTGCTACACAAAAACTCTGTGTACAAAGTTTTTATTTGTACTTTCCTGATGACATACAATATGGAGCAACTTTTCGTGTTTATCTGCCATCTGATTATCTTCTTTGGGGGGTGTCTTTGACCCAGCTTTTAATCAGATTGTGTTCTATTTTTGTTGAATGTTATATTCTTTGTATATATATATATTTTTAACTTTTTAGATGTATATGGACACAATACATTTATTGTATTTATTTATTATTTTTATGTGGTGCTGAGGATCAAACCCAGTGCCTCACTCATGCTAGGCAAGCACTGTACTCTGAGCTACAACCCCAGTCCTTCTTTATATATTTTGAGTGACAGTTATTAATTAGATGTGCCTTTTGTGAATATTTTCTCCCAATTTGTGGCTTGTTTGCTCATTCTCTTGACATTGTCTTTTTAATTCTAATGAAGTCCATTTTTAGAAACATTTTTAAAATGTTTTTTTTTATACCTTTATTTATTTTTATGTGGTGCTGAGAATTGAACCCAGTGCCTCACACTTGCTAGGCAAGTGATCTACCACTGAGCTACAACCCCAGCCCCTTAATGAAGTCTATTTTATCCATTATTTCTTTCATGAATTGTACCTTTGGTGTTGTAACTAAAAAGTTATTACCATACCCGAGATCATCTAGTTTTCCTCAAAAACTATATTATTTTCTAGGAACTTTACATCTTTGCATTTCACACTTAGGTCTTTGGTATATTTTAGGTTTATATTTTGGGGAAGGGTGCAAGGTTTGTGTCTAGATTCATGTTTCTGCATGTGGATGTCGAATTGCTCCAGCATTATTTACTAAAAAAGCTATCTTTGCTCTATTGTATTGCTTTTGTTCTTTTTTCAAAGATAGTTGACTTTATTTATGTACATTTATTTCTGGGTTCTCTGTTCTGTACCATTGTCTGTCTGTCCTTTCACACATACCGTATTGTCTTGTTCAAGTTGCGTAGTCAGGTCCTACTTTTTCTTCTCCTTTAACTTGGTATCAGCCATCCTGGGTCTTTTGCCTGTCAGATTACCAATATTCAGTTTGTCAGTATCCACAATATAGCTTGCTGGGATTTTGATTGAAATTATGTTGATTCTGTAGATCAAGTTGGGAAGAACTGACATTTATCTATCTGTCTGTCTGTCTATCTCCCTCTCTTTCTCTCTCCCTGTGTTTCTCTTTCCCTCTCTCTCTCTCTATCTGTCTAGTACTGGGGATTTTACTCAGGGTTCCTTTACTACTTAACCATGTTCCTCATCCTTTTTACTTTTTATTTTGAGACAGGGTCTCACTAAATTGCCAAGACTAGCCTCTTACCTTCTGATTCTTCTGCCTCAGCTTTCTGAGTAGCTGAGATTGCAGACCTGTGCCACTGAAATTAGCAAAACAGTCTGATTTCTCCCTACCTTCTCTGTCATTCATTGTTTTTACCTTTATGTGATCATATATATGCATCATAAAAATTCATAATTAAATACATTGTTGCTATTATTATTTTGAACAAATTGTTATCTATTAGATCAACTAAGAGTAAGAAAAGTGAAAGTTTTTATTTCACCTTCACTTTTGCTCTTCTGATGCCCCTCCTTCCTTTATGTGGATTTGAGTTTCTGACCTCCATCAGTTTCTTTCTCTCTAAAGAGCTTCTTGCAGCCCTCCTGGCAAGGCAGGCCTGTTGCCACACATCCTCCATTTCCGTTTGTCTGAGAATGTCTTTATTTCTTCTTCACTTTTGAAGGATAGCTTCTCAAGGTACAGAGTTATGGGTTAGATTTTTTTTTCTCTCAAATATTTCACTTCACTTTGCCTTGTATGGTTTCTGAGTGGTTGAATGTAGTTCTTTTCTTTGCTCCTTTATAGATAGGCTGATTTTCCCTTCTGGCTTCTTCCAAGATTTTCTTTATCTTTGATTTTCTGTAGTTTGATAATGATACGCCCAGGTGTTGAGTTTGGGGCATTTTTCCTTCTTGGTGTTCTCTGAGCTTCTGGAGCTGTGATTTGGTGTCTACATTAATTTGAGGAAGATTTCAGGCATTGTTTCAGATACTTTTTCTGTTCTTTTCTCTTTCTTCTTTAGTGTCCCCATTATGCAGATTTACTCTCCATCGTTACCCCCAGTCCTCAGGTGTTTTCTCTGTTGTTTTCAGTTTTGATTCTGTTTTTCAGTTTTCAGTTTCTGTCACTGCATCCTCAAGCCCAGAGGTTCTTCCTGCACCTGTCAGCCTAGGAAGGCATTCTTCATTTCTGTTACATTTTTGATCCCAAGCGTTTCTTTTTGGCTCTTTCTCGGGATTTCCGGCTCTCCCTGCTTACATTGCCCATCTGTTCTTTCCTGCTGTCTACTTAGCACATGCATCAGGGCTCTGATGGATATAGCATTTTAGTGTGGAAATTAATCATCAATTAAATTCCCACTCTGATAATTCAGCATCCCTGCCATGTCTGCTTCTGTCTCTTCAGATTGCTTTCTGTCTTTTAGTTAGCCTAGGATTTCATCTTCATAGCCAGACATGATGGACCATGCAAAAGGTGAAACTCAGGAGGAGACTTCTGCTCTACATGCTCCACCAAAACATGGGAGGCAGGCTGACAAGGAAGAGGTTTTATTCAAAGCTGGCTTTGAGGAAGATGGAGGTGACCTTTTCCTTTTTCAAATCTCTATCTTATGGGACTCAGGGATGCAGAAAACTCTTAGAAGAGGAGAGGAGGCTTGCCGGGTGTGGCGCACGCCTGTAATCCCAGTGGCTCTGGAGGCTGAGGCAGGAGGATCGTGAGTTCAAAACCAGCCTCAGCAAAAGCAAGGCACTAAGCAACTCAGGAGACCCTGTCTCTAAATAAAGTACAAAATAGGGCTGAGATGTGGCTCAGTGATCAAGGAGGCTTGAAGGGACAGAAAAACAGGAGACAAGGATGTGGCTTGTTAATCAGAAATACATCTCAGCCTCAGGTTCTTGGGACACTGGGTCAGGGGCAGCCCCTCAGTCTCCATTCTAAGTTCAGAAGTTAAAGCCATTTGGAGCTTTGATTTCAGAGGAGCATGGTTAATGTAGGTGGGAAAGGGGGGAAGAGGTCTAGTCCTTGATCAGGTCCCAGTCTTGGTGAGCCTGGCCTCTGAGCTGAGTGTCTCAAGTGCCTCTCATCATTGTCCTCAACCCACCTTAAAAGGGGCCTTGGAAGACACAGGACAGCTGGAGAGGGCTGGATTTAGGTGTTTTCCTTCACCTATATGGAAGGCTAGTGCCATCTGGAGTTGGGTATTGTCCCCCCTGATCGGTTGGACTCTGGTTAACTAGTTTCTCCTGAGTGGACTGTGCCGTGGAGCAGGGGTGCACTGGGGAGCTTCATAGAGGTTTCTTCCCCCGCCCCTGCTGGAAGGTGGAGGACTGTTTCTTAGCTTAGGGGAGGAACCTGGAGAGCTCCAGAAGGCAAATCTCACAGTATTGTGTGTGTTAGGGGTGGGGGAGTATTGGTCCTAATCTCCAGGTCCTCAGATTTTTAAGCCCTCAGTTGTTCACTGTGAGCCTGCAGCACTTTGTTCGTCTTAGCTTTCTTCCCAGCGTCTGTTCTTAATGCTAGATTCTAAAGCATATGTGAATAAGAAGCAGAGCTTGATGTGCAGAACAGATAGCAGAGCTGGTTGAAAGCAAAGCCCTTGAGAATGGAGTGTGGGACTGGGGGCCAGAGCAGGAGAGGACTTTGCTGTTTGGGAAGAGGGATGGAGGTAGCTGCAGGCTGGGCATGAGCTTTGTTTTAAAAAGAAAGAATTGGCTCATAGTAGGCAGGAGGCAGAAGTAGCCTAAATGCCTACTAAAAAATGTGGCACGCCACTCAGTGGAATACTGTTCAGCCTTAAAAAAGGAATTTCTGGCCCTTTCTATGACTAGGAGAAACCTTGAGGATAGTGTGCTAAGCCAAATAAACCAGTCACAAAACGCAGACGTTGTATAATTGTATTTACAGAAGGTGAATTCAGGCAGTAGAACAGGTTGTCAGGGGCTAGACTGAGGAGGGAACGGTTTGCTGTTCAGTGGATAGAATTTTAGTTTTGCAAGACAAAAAAGCTCGTCAGGTCTGTTGGACAACAATATGCATATTGTTTACACTATATACCTAAAGATGGTCATTATTAGCCAGGCACAGTGGCACATGCCTATAATCCCAGCAACTTGGGAGACTGAGGCAGAAGGATTGTAAGTTCCAGGCCAATCTCAGCAATTTAGTGAAACCCTGTCTCATTCTGTCTCAAAAAGGATTGGGATGTGGCTCTTTGGTAAAGTGCCTCCCAAAAGTAAATTTTTAAAAAATCTTTTTTTTTTTTTTTTGATGGTACTGGGAATTGAGCCTAGAACTCCACATGTGCTAGGTAAGTGCTGTACTTCTGAGCTACGTCCCCAGCCCTTTTAATTTTATTTTGAGGCAGGATCTCACTAAGTTGCACAGGCTAACCTCAAACGTGCCATAGCCTCCCAAGTAGCTAGGATTGCAGGTGTGTGCCACTGTGCCCATCCGTAAATGGTTTTGATCTCAGTGAATAAAGAAAAGGAGACATGGCCTCTGATGACTCCTGCGGTCTCCATGAACCCCTCAGCCAGGTGGAGAGTGAGGGTAGCACCGTGATGGAGTGTGGGGCTCAAGGCAGGCCCTGTGTGGGTGCTGCGGAGGCTCTGCAGGGGATCACTCTGTTTCATGGGTGTGTACCGCCTGCAGTGAGCAGTGCCTTCTTGGAGTTGGTGTGTTCGGAGATCTCAGGCAGGGCCTGGCTGTTCTTTCTCCAGTTCTTTGATGATTTGAAACAAACTATTTTTAGCACAACTGACTTATTGGAACCCTGCATCTTTTATTCAGACCCAATATTTAGCTTACTGGATTTTGTGGTAAAAAAGATTTAGACTAGAAAAATGACTCCTAGGCATTTTTTGTTTGGGGAATGAGGAGGAAGCTGTTTGAGGACTGAGAGGAATTTTAGGTTCTCCTTTATGCTTTTTGATTCTCCCCCATTGGCTTTGACTGGACCTGAGTTAAACGACACCCAAACTGCATCAACTCTAAAAAGGGGCCCACTGAGCTGTGGTAGCTCCAGGGCCTTCTGGATACTGTTTGTCTTGCCAGCACCCACTGCCAGGTGACTCTGAGCAGAGCCTGTGCTGGCTTAGCTCATCTCTTCCTTCAAGGCCTCGATGCTGAGCCACATCCTCCCTTTGTCTGTGGGTGCAGCAGCGTGTTCTTTGGGGGTAGTCTCCCAAGTTTATCATGCTCCTAAAGCGAATTTTCCCCACTCCTCATTCTTTTTTTTCTTTTAATCAGTGAGACTTTCCCACAAGTAAAAACCTTGAATGTAAGCATTTGTGAAATAAATACACGTATACTAAAAATATCTGGAACTGCTTTGATAAAAGTATGGGCAGTAGCATGCCCAGAACTTTATCTGTCCCTGCTACACACACACCCAGCCTTGAGCCCTAACTGGACTGAGATGTTTCTGGAATACAGTTTGAGGATTGTAGCACCAGGGCAATATTAGGAGTTTGCATTCTTTATAATCATATTTTTCCAAATTGCAGTGTAATTTACATACAGTAAAAACCACTCGTGTGCTTGTGTAGCTGTCAGCACCCTTGAGATGCAGAACACATCCATTCCTCCTCCTCCCCATCTCACTGTGCCTGTTCCTGGCAATCATTCATCAGTTTTCTTTCCCTGTGATTTTGCCTGTCCCCAGGTGTCATATCAAGGGAATCATGTCATCTTGTGTGAGTCAGGCTTCTTTCACTTAACATGATACATTTTAATTTCATCCATGTTGTGTGTATCAGAAGTTTATTCTTTTTAGGAATTAACATCTTAAAGGAAAGCTCCTTTTTATACCCAAGATATACTTTAAAGCTTTAAAATAAACACTTCAGCTTTAAAATAAACACTTTTTAAAACTAGAAGATTCTACTTGAGCCTGCCTGGGATCCAGCTTGATTTCTGTTGCTCTCTATTTTGAAATTAATGCTAGTATCCTGGAGCAGTACTAAAGGGACAACAGTGTGAAGGTGATCTACATGTGGAGGTAGCCTCTGTACTAGTCCTTTCAAGGCATGTCGGATTTGGTGCCCAGAGCCTGCCATGCACTGTGACCACAGCAGTAACCTTGAGAGGGACCTTGCTGAGGGCTCTGTGTGTTCCTGCAGGCTCATCAGATTCAGGAGATGTTCCCCCAGGTTCCATACCACCTGGTGCTGCAGGACCTCCAGCTGACGCGCTCAGTGGAAATTACAACAGACAACATCTTAGAGGGACGGATTCAAGTACCTTTTCCCACACAGGTAAAACTGGGATTTTAAGCATGACAGGTGGTTTTGTCTTCACAAAGGTTAATTCCTCTAGATTAATTTTTTTTCGGTTACTTAATAACTGAATGTTATTTAGAGTTTGTTGAAGAGTTTCTATAAACTCCCTCACTTTTTTCAAACTGTGAATGAGAAGAGACCCATCATAGATAAAGATAAAGGTCTGTGGATAAATTTTTGTACAGATGCACACCCCAGAAAAGCTTGCCTTTGCCAGTCAGGGAGGTCGTGGCATCGGGCGAGGTAGACAACTTTGTGTAAAGAGCAGATAATATTTTAGGCTTCGTGGGCATATAGCCTGTTCCGAACAAGTGAGACTGTGATCCAGAAAAACTTTCTTTATAAAAATAGGCAGAGGGGTAAACATGGCCCTGGGCCTGTAGTTGGCAGACTCTGCTCTAGGAGATAATGGCATCTGTCCCTAGTCATCCTTGCACATTATTACACTTGTACTAAAAAGGTCAGCTCTCCTGGTCTATCACATAACCTCTTTGATGGTTCCAAGAAATATTAACATAGACAAGCTTTTTGGTAGAACTCAGGAATGTGTAAGGAATAATCTACAAAAAATTGATTCAATTTCAGTATACAGAATTATGAAAAAAAACTATTAATAAAATTCAGAAAGTTGAAACTCTTTGAAAAGGTGAAGAGCATGGACTTTGGAGTCAAATAGGCTGTTAGGAGTCTCCACTTCTCAGCTATTTGACTTGGCTGCTGGTTGCCTCTGGAGGTGGCAGAATTGTCCCACGGGGCTACAGAGTCCTCAGGTAGTAGAACAGACACTGGCCAGCCTGCGAGGAGGTGCTGAGACCTGAAGGGACATGGTTGAAGTGAGGAACTGCAGACCTTGTTCCAGAGGGTAAGATTAATGGTCAGGATTTTCCTTGGTGCCATGCACAGGTTAAGTGTTTCCCCAGTGTTACCTGCTGCTGCTGTTATTATCCTTGTTGGGCAGTTACTGTTATTGAAGGCTCACCTGCACGTGGGGCCAGTTGCTAACTCACACTGAGAGCTGCAGTTTGGTCCTTGGGCTCCCTTGTGTTACCTGTGTAGCATTTCAATTTCTTTTGTTCTCTAGGCTTTGCTAAGGTTGCAGGCTGTGCTGGGGACCGTGGCTCCCTCTGGACCCAGGTTTTCCCAGTGCCTGTTATTTCATTCTGAGTGGCACTGTCCTGTTTGTCTTGCAGCGGACAGAAGGCATCAGACCTGCTTTGAACAGTCCTATGGAAAGGCCTAGCACTGACCAGGAGGAAGGAGAAGCTTCCCCTCAGGTAAGAGTGGCCCACTAGAGAGCACATGGACTGTGGAGTAGTGGCGTGGACCCTGCCAGTGGTCACCTTCACCCTTGACACTGGTGAAATGGGTTCCGTGTTTGTCTCTGTTGAGGGGTGCCAAGCTGTACCTGTGGGCAGGCCTTTTCTGCACCCAGGGCTGCAGCCCACTCCCTAGGCGTCGGGCCAGCACTGCCTCCCTCAGCTTGAGTGAGGGTACCAGGTCCTGGGCTCCCAGGGGGTGGACCAAGGCGCACACTCCTTGGGGACCTGAGCCACTGAGGTGCTGTCCTCCATACCTTGTTTACTCAACTCAGGATTTCCAGGAACTTCCATGGATTTTGCCAAAACAAGATTCCTGAGCCAGGTGGGGTGGGGGAGGCAGGCTATCTGGGAACCACTCTGTCTGGATGCCCACTTGGGGAAGCAGCCCCTCTCTGTGGCAGAGGCATACTGCCCCGCCCTTAGCTGGCACCTCCACTCCATTTCCATTTCCTCCATCAGTTACGGTACTTCTTTCTTTTTTTCATTACTAGGGATTGAACCCAAGACACCCTGAATACTCTCTAACCCTTCTTATTTTTTGAGCCAGGCTTGCTAAGTTGCCCAGGCTAGCCGTGAACTTGTGCTCCTCTTCCCTCAGTCTCCTGAGTCACTGGGGTTTCAGGTGCCAACATGCCTGGCCAGTTACCATATTTGTAGAACACTTTCTCCAAATACTGAAATAATAGCCAAACACCCTCATCCTCGTGTACACACATGTGGGGTGTGGCAGGGAGCCAGCGCCCTGCACGTTGAGCTCTGGCCACGGTACTCCTCAGTGTACACACGTGTGGGGTGTGGCAGGGAGCTGGTGTCCTGTATACATGTGTGGGGTGTGGCAGGGTGCCAGCGTCCTGCACGCGGAGCTCTGGCCACAGGAGGTGCTGCTGCTTCCTGAAGTGGCCAGGGCTTTTTGAAAGCAGTGACTTTCACTGACAAGCCACAGGGAAGCTACTCACACCTCTTGTGGGTTTCCCTGCAAATAGGAAACTCAAAAGTACCAGGACTTTCTCAGGTCTGTTACTAGGGCAAAGTTTTCATATCCAAATCCATAATTGGTTCATCGTTTGAAAATGGCATGTGCCTTCTGAAAAAGGTGACCATTTATGCATTTTTTAGTTTTTGGATAGCTAGCTTAACAGAGATAAGAACTCTGGAGTGGTTTCTGGGCACGTGTAATCACAGCACATTTAATTTCAGTTCCTACTCCCCAACTTTGTTTTCAGAGTTAGCATGAAGGTTTCTGAATTTTTAAAAATATAGTGTAGGAAAGTACTTATTTTGTAAGGAAATTGCTGTGTAACATGTTTGATCTTTCACAGGAAGTGCAAAGACCTTGTATAACAAGGCTTTATCATTAAAGCCTCAGTCTGGTCCAGTGGTCACATCTGCCCTATGCATCCTTCCGTTCAATCTTCCTGCCCCAGCTCAGGCTGCTAGTCAGGCCTGGAAGCCTCTGCAGGGCGAAGCTGAGGGGGGCTTGGGTTTTCTTTGTCCCAACGCCTCTGTTTGCTTAGCTGTTCTTTCTAAGCACCTCTAGGGTCAGGCTCGGGGAAGTTTAGGATGGGGCAGTATGATCCCAGATGTGGGGGGTGTGTGCAGATGTTAACTCTCAACTATTCCCCTGCCCCAGCTTGCTTCAGAACCTCCTCAGACCAGTAAGACTCTCCTTGAACTTAAGGCCCTTTATGGAAGGGTAGTGCCCCCCTACCTTCCTGGGGGTCATATTACTCCCCAAGTGGTCCTTTTGAGGAAAGTCTCTGTTTTACAATCTCAGACTAGTTCTCTCCTGCAAGGACCCCCTGAGCCCAGGACAGTGTCTGCCTATAGTCAGAGGATATAGAACCTGCTCCCATCACAGCCCCCACCCATTTTTGTGGTCTGCTACATCCAGTTTCCTTCCTTTAGATTTCCCAAGTCACTTGTCCCTGTGTCCCCAGAGCTCCAGGAGAATTGAGTCAGGCTCTCTGCCATTTGGCTCTCTTAAAGTCCCCTTTCGGGCTTGGCTGAAAGCAGGAAGAGAGGTGGTAAGGATGGCTGATGGAGGAGCACCTACCTCAGCAACTGAGAAATGGAATAGTCTGCCCTCAGCTTTCTGGTGGCCTGGGAGTGGGTGGTGGGCTGCACCTGGGAGTGTGAGCGGCAGAGATGGCGGTATCTGCTTGAGGATACTTAGGCCTTGTTTTGGCCGCTGGAGCTTCAGCCAAAACCAAGAAGATGTCCCATTTTAAGTCCTGTTACATAAGGAACCACATAATCTGTTATCTCTGTTTTTTGTTTTGTTTTTTTAGAAAAGGTCCTTAGCATTTACCCTCTACCTGTTCAACTCTGTTTTCTAAGTGAAGGTATAAACTTTATGTAGCAGCTGTGATGAAACTTGTTTAAATTCTCGAGCAATTAGTAGAATTGAACAGAATTCTCAGAATGCAAGCTAGCAGTTGCCTATTGTCATATTCCAAGGGTTCGGTTCAGAATGGCTTCTGTTTTTCATACTGGCAGTCCTTTCCTTATGATATTGAACACGGTGTGAATTGCTAGTACGAGTCATACACAGGCCCGCCCTCAAGGAGCCCAAGTCTCCAGTATACATGTGTCCCAGGCTCAGCCTCCTTGCCTGGTAGCAGTCCCCGCTGCCAGTCCAGACTACACCTGTTGAGGGGTGACTTGTCTAGAGAGGGAGTGGCCTGTGCTCACAGCTCCTCCCTCTGTCTAGACTGAGCGTGTGCCATTGGACCTCAGTCCTCGCCTGGAGGAGAACTTGGACTTCAGTGAAGTGGATGTGGAGTCCAGTGAGGTGGAAGACTTTGAGGCCCGGGGGAGCCGCTTCTCCAAGTCTGCTGACGAGAGACAACGCATGTTGGTCCAGCGCAAGGATGACCTCCTGCAGCAGGCTCGGAAGTGAGTTGCCTTCCACTGCACTCAGAAACCAGGGGCTGCAGGCCAGCTCACATCGGCCCCCTCTAAACTGGTGACAGCATTGAAAAAACATTGCATGTCCTAAAAACTCCGATTTCAAGCCCCTCTGGAAACAGCAGAGGATCTGGCCACACTGAGGCCAGCTGGTACCTTGGGGCGGTCATCTCAAGTGAACATAGCAGCCACATGCGCGCATGTGTCCCAAGCCCTTTGCATTCATTACCTTGGTCCTCTTACCAGCTCTGGGAAGGAGCACTGTTATTTATGCCCATTTGAGAAATGGACAGCCAGGAAACTGAGGCCCAGGGAGGTTCACACTGCCTAGGCCTGCGATCTGGCTTCCAATGTCCCTCTTGACCACTATGCATCTCAGATCAGCAGTGTCTTGAGTACCTCGTGTTCCACCATGGTTGGTGGCAGTTGGAGCACGTACTGTTCCTGTGGGTGGGTAGGCGCTCTCTGTTTCAGTTCCTGAGGACAGGGCCAGCATGTGTTCATCTGGGTGGATTTTGGGCCCTACACAAAACTGTGGGTCCCTGCGCCGTTTCTTTGGGCAGATGAGAGGTTGCTGATAGCCACTCAGAGGCTTCTCCCTGGGAACTTGGGCCTATCTGTTCAGAGACAGGCGTCCTTCCCTCCCTCCTGCGGGGGTTGAACCCAGAGCTTTATGCAGATGAGGCCAGCGCTCTGCCACTGAGGCCATGTCTAGCCCACAGATAGCAGGTGGCCTTTCCATGGGACGATTCTGAGTGGCAGCTTCATGAGGTGCCTGGAGAGGGGGAAATCTAAATGAAGCTACATTCTCTATGGGTTCCAGAGCTTCCATCTCTCATGTGACTTTTGTCTTCGTAGGCGATTCTTGAATAAAAGTTCTGAAGATGTCTCAGCCTCAGAGAGCTTTCTCCCCTCAGAAGGCACGTCCTCTGACCCGGTGACCCTGCGTCGAAGGATGCTGGCCGCTGCTGCCGAGCGGAGGCTTCAGAAGCAGCAGACCTCCTAGCACTTCCTCATCTTCCTCAGCCACCTCTTCCCGAGCCCTGTGCCCGACCAGGAGTGGCCTACCCAGTGCTGCCTGCATGTGAAGAAGCAGGCGGACTGCATTGCGCTGTATAAAGCACGTGTCTTAATAGTGTTTGGACAGCTGACAGATTTAATCCTCCTTTGTAATACTTTCTACGTGACATTTCTTTTCCCTTAGAAACACTGCACATTTTAACTCTAGGCATGATCTCTTCTGCGTTGACTGGACTTCTTAGGTGTGGGGACGATCAAGAGGATGTGGGCACCACCTGCAGCTACTGCTTTGCGCATGTGTCATGGTGCTGGAGTCCTGAGCTCTGTGTCTGGCAGGAAGAGCACTGGGGGAGGGTGCACAGACTCGGTGAGCAGACGCACAGCCCAAGCCCGACCCCACACCATTGGAGGAGATCTGTTGTCACTGCTGTCCTTAGTGAGGAAGCATTCAGAGTGTTCCAGAGGCCAGACCACAGGTTCTGGGCCCCTGGGCCAGCAGGGCATCTGTCAGAGAGCTCCTGGTTTGACTCCTGGAGTTGAGAGGGAAAGCCCAGGGCTACAGAATGTGAGGCCTTGACCCCTTCATCCCTGGACAGCCAGGGATGACCCACACCCTGGTCCACAGCTGGCTTTACTTCCTTTCACTCTGGTGCTCCTGCATCAGTGAGCTTGCCCTCGGGCGACCTGCCCCTCCCCATTTCTTGCCCCCTGTGGACATGAGGAAGGTCAAGCAGCAAGCTTTGGTTTGAGGTTTTAATTCCTTGGTCAACTAAATGAGGCAATGCCACAGCCCGTGGGCGTAGTCCTTGGAGAAGGGGTGGGCCTTGCAAGAGGGAAGAGTAGACTGTGGAGGGCTTTGTTGAAGAAATATCTTTCTTCCCTGGAGCCCTCCATTTCCTTCACTTTGTTCCTGTTGGTTTAGTGCAACTTAGAAAGGTAGGATGGTGAGCCCAGTGCCTCGCGGCAGACCAGGCGGGGGCTTCGCGTCCTTCACGTGTTGAAGGATCTGAAACATGCAATCATAGGTTACATAGTTCTGTTTTATGTCCCATTGGATTAAGTTTTTTTTTTTTTTTTTAATGTTTGAAAGCATAGTTTATGGTAGTCCTTTTTGGAAGAATCCAGTATTATCTAAAATTATTGGTAAAGGTAAATGTATTTTACATAACTGAAAGTTTTTAGGATGTTGACACGTAATTGAAAAAAGGGTGATAGGTAAATATGTAGGCAGAGATAATTTATTTCAATAAATCTTTCAAAAGCCTTACCTTGAAATGCTGTTAGTAAATTTCTGTGATTTTTAAAAAATTTGTTTTGTTTTGCTGAGAGCATAGCTATTTGTTTTTATTGTAAAACAATAATAATAATAAAAAGGAAACTCTTCTAATGTGTCGTGTGGCTGGACGCTAAGGCAGGTTTTTCGGTGGTGCAGGCACCGATTCCCATTTTGAGTCTGCTGTTTGGGATTTTTTCAGCTCTGATCCGGAGGAGAGCATTCCACGTCCTGTTGTATTTGGAGAGGACAGCACCGAGTGTTTCTTTCTCTTGTATTCATCTTTTCAAGGAAAATGGGGAGATTTTATTTCCTCGAATCATGTCACACTTTGTATGTTGCACACATTAAGGTGACATTCATTCCTTGTGTTCTTAAGGTTTCAGATGTATGAGAAGAGAAAATTGTGTAGGTCACTTTAGACGGCCTTGAGACACTGGGGAATAGAATGCAGTAGAGGTCCAAGCAGAAGTGCCTTCAATAGCGTAAGGTGGTCTAAGAAGGAAGTCCCAGGTCACCCTTGGCTTTGGCACCTGGACAGGAAGGGATTCTGGGTGCTACAGAGGGCCCCAGCTCTCACTGCTTCTGGCCCCCTCGAGGCGGTGCTAAGGGGACTGCTGGTGAGAGTGGGCGGGCTCCTCTGCGCCCGCTTTCACTCTCCTGGCTGCCACGGGGTCACCGGCTTGCCCTGGAGCTCAGCCCCGGAGTAGCAGAGCTGGAGCAGGCTTCTGGGTTGCCAGCCGGGCTCGGGAGTGTGGACTTCTTAGGTGTGTGGACGATCAAGAGGAAGGGCACCACCACCTACCGCTGGAGGAGCAGCTACTGCTTCGCGCATGCGTCACGGTGTGGAGCTCCGTGTCTGGCAGGAGTGCTCTGGCGCATGGTAGAGACGCCCTCTCTGGACTCTGGGAACCAGTCTGAGTTCCCCCTCCATTAGCTTAATGGGTCCTTGGTTTTCTTTTCCAAAATTTGGAACTTTTAGATACCGTAGAGAATGCAGACAAGTGCTCTACCGCACCCCCAGCCCTGCCTTATCTTTTTATCCATGTGGATGCCTCACTGGTGTTGATGGGACTCTTAGGTGCCAGGTGGCCTCCTGGGCCCTGCCTCCCGCTTAATTTGTGCAGACGCTTGTCTGCAGCCTCTGCATAGGGACTACAGGAAAGGGCCCTGAGAACTCTATGGAAGCAGGGTGGGAGTAGGAAGGGGACCCTGTCCCTGCAGGGAGCTCGCCAAGGAGTAGCCCCTGCCTGTCCTGGAAGGCCCTCCAACCTTGGGTTGTCCACGTCAACGCTGCTGCTTTCTGCTAGAAGTGGTTCTAACTCTAGCTGCACGTTAGGATCGATGTTAGGTTCTGCCCTCCATGGTTCTTGTTCTAGTTTCGTTGGTCTTTTCCCTGCATCCTTTCCTTAAAAAAAGTTTCCTGACTTCCCTTTCCCATGTAAGAAAGATAAGTCAGGGCTGGGAGTGTGGTAGAGCACTTGTCTGCATGAATGAGACCCTGGGTTTCATCTTCAGAAATGGAAAAGAAAAATGTTGGTTTTATCTACAAAATTCATTTGAAAGTTGGGGAAAAGCCCTGTTAGCAGATGGCTAGTGTTTAGAGAGATTCAGATACACTACATGTAGAAAATGCCCTAGTTTCCTTCAGCCTTCCATTTGGGCTTTCATATGGCCTCCAAGACCAGCATTGGAAGTGGAGGTGTAGCCTGAATTGCAAACCTCTCTGTCAACACAGATGGTGGGTTGGGTGCCCCACTCTGCAGCCAGCAGGTCAGGTGAAGGGAGGTGGAGAGAAGCACTGGAGAAGGAGGCATGGGCTGGCAGAGGGGCTGGGGAGGACAATTGATTCAGGTTGTGTGTTATGGGTGGCACGCGCCTCTTGGTCTTCCCAGTTTCTGAAACAGTATCACCCCCTACGTCTGTCCCCACTAAATGACAAATGGCATGTGCCAGGGAGAGGTCTTTCTGAGTTGGTAATTCCCCTTATCAGAGAGGGGATGCAGAGAGGATTCCAATAAACAGATCTCTGGGGAGCTTCTACCTCATTAAACATGGCAGGAAATGCAAGGGGTTGGGGGTCAGGAGAGTGCTGCCCCGGTCCCACTTGTGTGTTTGGCCTGCAGACAAAAATGGAGGGAAACCTTCCTGGCCAGTCTAACGGGTCCCAAGCTGGTCCTTGGCTCTTGAGTAGATGAGACCCCCTGGGTGCAGAGGGCCTAGGCAATTTGGCCTCCTTGGGATGACCCATTCTTCCACTGTGGTGGGAACCCTGGAGACAGAAGATTGGGGGCCCTCCATGTTCTGCCTTCCTAATTCTCAGTCCCACCAGAGACTACAACCAGCTGTGAGTGGAAGGGCCTGGAGCCAGGAAGAAGAGGTCATCTACAGCCAGGAAGTGGCCTATTCCCTGTCTGCCTTCCCAGGGGACACCAAGCACCTACACTACTGTCTGTGCTCTGAACTGGCACCCCAGTCACAGCACAGAGGGGGCCACAGAAGGTCCTGGGATTCCTCACCCACCAGCCTGTGGCCAAGTCCAGTGTCCCTCCCTCCCTCTCCATCCCGGGCAACCACATAGAGTGGAAGGCAGAGGGTGAGACGCAGAAATACAGACAAACATTCTCTTTATTGAGCTACACATGAATTTTCCATTAGAGAAGTAGACTGGCAGTGTGTAAGATATCACAGAAACCTCACCGATTGGGAATAGAAAGGCTTAGAAAGACCCGTGGGCTTTTTTTTTCTTTTTTTTTTTTCAAGTTTTTTTTTTCTATATTTTTAATTTTTTGTGTTTTTTCTTTTTGCCTCCTCTTTATTTGAAATGGCTGTGACTGGTCTTCAGCAAATTTATTAAGTCTTAAAAGTGAAACCGTGAAGAGGTCTGGGGTTGGGACACTAGTCAGAGTAGAAATGACAGGGCTGATCATGAAAACGGTGGCTTTAATGTAAACACTACATTCCATCTTTTTTTATTTTTATTTTTTTTGTGTGTGTGTGTTTTTCTTCCATCTTGTGGTAGTTAAAAAAATTTTTTTTCTTTTTGTCTGCATCACAAACATCCCCACATGAGAAAGAGGGAACACGGGTCACGTTGAAACGGAGGAAAGTGGGGGAGGGCACACACGGGAGGACAGCGGCGCCCAGAGGCCGAGGCCCAGAATGCCAAGGGAGGATGCAACCCCTTTCCCCAAGGCCGCGAGAGCGGATCTGGCATGTGATACCAAGACTTTCTTTTTTGTCATCAGGACAAAAAGGAAAAAAAAAAATTACAAAGGGACTCTGAAGAAAGGGGACCTGGCAGGAACCGGTGCTCTGCTCGGGCCATCTTGCTACAGGACCGGGCTGGGCTGGGCAGCTGCTGGCCGGGAGGGCTGTGCTTTTTCTATACAAACCTGGAGTCAGGGTGTGGCTGGAGTGCAGGGCTGGGGACAGGAGCGTGCCACCCCTCGGTGGTGTCTGTGGTCTTTGGGTGGCTCATGGGCAGCAGGGTTTGCAGTGGCCTGTGGCTCTGGAGAGCCCCGCCTAGGAGCGCTCCTGCCAGCAAATGCACCCAGCGGGCCCTGGTGGCAGACGGGCCCTGGGCCGCGCCACGCTGGGAGGGGAGGGTGTGGGTGCTCGAGTGTATGTTCTCTATTTCAAAAGATAAAGAAATACGGGTGAAATGGTAAGTTTTCCTTTGTCTTCTTTTTTTTTTTTAACTACAAAGCACATGAGAAATTTTGTTTTGTTTTTCTTTCAAATTCTAAATGTAAAGACTGAACTAAAACCGGATTCTACAGCATTCTACAGAAATACACAGCCGTCAGTCACTCTGGGGTCGTAGGTTAGACAGGGGCTTGGTACAGAAAGGCTGTGTGTCTTACAAAGGCCCAAAGGTCATGCTACCAGGAGATCAACGTCAACAGCAAAGAGTCCGTGAAGCAGTCTGCAGAGAGAGAGATAAGGGGTCCAGTCTGACCATTTTCTTCCATTTTAAAAACCAACCAACCAACAAAACACCCTAGAACAACTTAACTGAGGCTGGGGTGGGCCAGACGGGATGGCCTCTCAGGCTCCAGGGCCCCAGTGAAGCCCATCCCAGCCGCCCTGGGAAACCTCGGCCCACGGGACGCAACTCTGGTCTGGTCTACAAGTCCAGCCCTCCCCTGGGCCACTCCGATGCCTCCTGGCCCTTCTGTCCCCAGGGCGCTCTGGGAGGGAAGCCGGCTTCAACTCCGCAAGTCCCTCCCCTTGGCTGCTTATAGAAAGCAGATCAAGTCTCCCGGTTCTCTGATTCTGGTCTTGTTTACATGAAAAAAGAAAACTCAGGAGACAGTGGATTGATCAGAGCAATGATTCTTCTAAATTCTCAAAATTAACAACCACCACCACCCCAAGAGAAGTGACCTCAAAATTTTCTGTTGTTGTGGGTCTGGGGTCGGGAGATGTGTAGGGCATTGGCCATTTTCTTAAAGGGTTTTGGAATCCGCATAAGAGCAGGGACAGAACTGACGGCACTGCCTGTGTGAGTGGAGGGCAGGGGACCACGCTGGGCTGGGCCTGGCCTTCCTCTGCCCTCCCCCTGCTCACAGAAGAGGGTCTTAGAAACGAAGACCCCAGGCTGTCCTGAGAAGGACCGATTTGCCAACCAGGCTCCCAACACACGTGTGTGCCCACACACGCGTGCACTCTCCTGCGCCGTCCCAGGAAAGCCTCGGTGAGCTATGGGATGGCAGTCAGTTCTGTCCACAGCTCTTTCAAGTACAAACTAAAAAGATTTTTCTAATATATATTTGTGTATATATAAGGTTTTGTTATGCCTCTTTAAAGTTTATTTACCAACTTGCATTTGTTAGTGGTGTTGTGTGTGTGTGTGTGTGTGTGTGTGTGTGTGTGCGTGCGCACAAGCTGTTCTGAGTGCTGGAATCATTACCAAATAGGTTGCTATACAGGACAAGAGGTCAGTACAAGCCGCAGCCCCGGAGGTTGTTGGCAATGATGATGTCGGTGACAGCGTCGA